AGCCCTCGGCACGTGTTGTGCTGGGAAGAACCCAGTGCTGGTGCCGACCCCAGCCAGCAGTAGCATCATGCTGTCATCCCACGTGCAGTTCTGGGGGCCTGTGCCCCCTGGGAGAAGTCTGGCACAGCCCCATAGCCCTCCCGCTATACACTCTTATACCTACACGTACTTATAACTGTAGTCCGGAATGGGGTTGTGCGGTGTATGCTTTGAGAGTGGCCCCCTTATCCAGGACCCCGAGATCCTTAAGGTAAGCCACTAGGCCCACAGGGCAATCCCATGCAGGCCTCCAGTAGGTAAGTACCAGATTCCCAATATAATTCTCAACAAATTAAACAACAAGAAAAATAGACTCCAATGAAAATAACAACCTTAAAATTATTTACCAGCTAAAATATTACATAACTCACACAGTACAACCAGTTTACAAAATATTAGGTGCAGCTCCCACCCAGTTCTCCGAAAGGAGCATGGTTGGGAGGTCCCTTTTCTCTGGCCTCTCCCCTGCGAAGCCCCTATTCCTTCAACTCACGGTTGTCCTGAGCAGGGATGCAGTTGGCTTGTTTCCCCTCCCTGTGGACCTGGTTGCTGCTCTGGTGTGCGCAGGGGGTTCCTTCTTCATAGGCTGGGGTCCGACCCTGGGCACCTCCAACGCCCTGCCTTCTGGTGAGGTGAGGGATGGGGCTCAGCCCACCTTTTCTGGGTCCAGGCCCAGGCCCAGGCCCAGGCCCAGGCCCAGGCCCAGTGTCCTTGTGGGAGAAAAGGGACAAGCGATGCTTCAAGAGTGCCTTAGGGCAGGTGTCCCTTGACGAGGCCTGAGTGGTCTCTCACCGCTCCCAGGGCCAAGACTTTGTGCACTGGGGTGTACACCATGTGAGGCCCAAGCAGGCTCTCCCTGCTTCCAGGTCCGAGGCTCCAGCAGTGGCTTCTTCAGCAGCATTTTCAGGAGCCTAGGGCTATTGCCTGCTGGGGCAGGTCTCCCGAGCTTTTCTCAGCTCTGCTCTTCTTCTTGTCCCTCACTGGTCTTGATGACTCTGAAACTCATGCTAAGCTCGGGCCTACTCACAAAAGTTAAAATACAGAATACTGACACTAACTGCATAATGCAAGAGGATGCAAGTTCATGGCTAGGGCATCTGAAAAGGAATAATGAAGCATCTCTTCCAGCTTATCCTGCTATATTCAGGATGATTTCAGGCAGACTCTTAGTTGTCTGGTGTGTAACCATATGAAATGTCTATCCTTGATTAATTGGTATGGTAAATATTTCTTTTGCGACTAACTCATGTTTATATGCAGGAAGAGACATTCTCCATATGTGATAGATGTCTTCTCCTGATTTAGTATGTTTTTCCTGGCTGTTAATCAGTGTCTTGATATGTTCCAAACTGGATAACCTCTTGTTACTGAAGAAGGTAACACATGAATGACAAATGACTTGACTTCTGTCACTCAAACGAGGTGTCATGTCAGTCTCTAGGCTAGTCTGCAATCCTAGGTTTTCTCAGGAAGATCTCATAGAGTAGGTTTTTATTAGCTAATAATCTGGTCTCCCAGCCAAACATGCTGTTCTTTTATAACCATCCAGGGCTCTGCCCTGGATTGCAAAAGGTCCAAACAGAGCAAGGGATGGCAAAAACCTCCCGGGCACCCCTCCTCCTGGGAGCTCTGCTGGGATTGTAAATGCACCATTCAAGAGAAGGGGGTGCACCCTCTTCTGATTGAGCATCCTGCTCAAGCCAGCAAGCTGCATGCAAGCCAAGCCGCAGCCAGCGCACCCACTACAATGGGCACTTATACACATGCTCTGGGGGTGCCACTTCAATTAAAGCACCACATGCTCCCTGTATCAGCATCCCCACACTTAAAAATGGAAGTGGGGGCCCTTGAACTAAAGCTTGTTCAATGAGTTTTAGTTCAAGCATCCCCACTGCCATTTTTAACTGTAGGGACACTGGTACACGAGATGCAGGAAGCTGCTGGAGTGCGGCAGTTGCCATCCTCCAGCAGACTCGACTGAATCTGCTCTGACGCGCTGGCATTCCAGCACACCGGAGCAGCCTCTCTGCTCATGCATAGGCGCCCTATATGCTGGGTGATTTCACAGTAGTACCACCACTCACAAGCTTATTTTGTTTCATAATATTGGGCTACTTTTTTTGAGCCACATGATAACAGAAACTTCCAGTTTTCATTTATTTACACGCTTGCTTAAAAAAAAAAAAGAAGAAGGAAGAGAGACGCTTACATTTTGCTTTTGAAACAGAGCTTGAAAAATGTGACTTTGAAAAGCTGAATTCCAGGAAACAAAAACATCATAATTTTTTAAGAAGGTTTGAAATATTGTTGTAGCTGTGATGGTCCAGTGAGTATGCAAGTAAGGGTTTTGTTTTTTGGCAACATCTTTTATGGGATCAACTAAATTGTTGGAAGAGATGTTAGACAAGCTTTAAATTGGCCCGGTAAAAGATATTACCAAAACCACAGACCTGACTTCAAATTTGAGCACTAGGGGGCAGCAATATTGATTTCATTCAACTATCTGCAAGACAAGGATTTAAACAGAGAGGAATGGGTCCTCCAAGCCTAGTTTAAACATAAATGTTTTTTTTTATCCTGTGGACCTTACTCATGTCCCTGCTTTCTACTTTCAGTGGCTCCATCTCTGGATCTTGCCTTAATCCAGCTCGGGCCTTTGGTCCTGCTTTAATATCTACTCACTGGGACAACCACTGGGTATACTGGATTGGACCACTCACAGGTGCTGTCCTGGCCTCTGTGCTGTACAGGTGTGTAAAGGATCCATCGTGCTTAGCCCTTTGAGTAAGGCCATGCTTAGTGAGCTGCGCAAATAGAGCTTATGTACATGAAAAGTTTCTCTGTAGCCTATCCCTGTTTCCCACCTTCCTGAAGTTATAGGGCTACTTTAAAAGGTAACTGCAAAGAGTGTCTTCTTCTCCTTCAGATCTGCTTCCATATGTAGTGACAATAAGATGTGGCTACTTTACTAAATAAACTGCAACTTCCTTTATACTCATGCTAGCCACTAGAGCTAGCAAAATGATGGGAAAAGAGAGTGCAGACACAAGTGACAATTTTCAGCTGATCTAGCCACAGCAAGCAGATAATACTCATGACCAAACAACAGTGCACAGCTACAAACAGCTTAAAAATGGCCAAATGAGTGAAAGTCTGACCCCTCACTGCAGGTGGTATCAGATAAAGAGATTTAAAAATGTAGTCTTTTGTAACTTGTCTCTGGCAGAGCTCCCACCTACTCCGTCTCCGTTTTCAGAATGGGGGGGGGGGAAGGGAGCAGAGGGAGTTCAGTCTGGGGGGGGTTTCAGCCCCCCTGGAGGGTAGGATGGGTGTATTGCAGCCCCCCCCAAGTGGGGGAGGGCTCCAGTTTACCCACCCCACTCTTCAGCACCAGCTGGGGAGCCCCAAGA